TGAGGTTGGGAGGACATGTACATGTAGGTACTGACACTTGTTTCTTGTCTCCGATTGGCCACTGGTGGCTGTTCTTTATTGCCCCCTCTGGACTGGGGAATGAATAGCGTTATGGTTGATAGGACAAAAAAATTCAAAATCATGTCACATTGTTAATTCTCCTAACAATACATGTACGAGTAGGTCTACACCTTTTCATAAAAATACACGTATATGTACCTGAAATGTTGCTCCCATATTATGCCTAAAAAAGTTGTATTCATTTTCTTAATTGCTGTAAATATGAACACAGTAAGTACATGTACATGTAATTCCCTAAACAAACTGAATGGAGGGCTGCCCTTTGGTCAAGATGTGTGCAATAGGTTGAAGTGAACTGAATAGTTGCAAACCCTGTTCCTACCGTACAACAGAAAGGAAAATTACTTGTAATCTCTTGGACGCACCTATATGTACATGTACGGTAAGTAGAATGACGACACCATATTGAATAACAGCAGGAACAATTTTGTATAAAGACGGCAAGGTTTTGATTTTTGAGAAAAATTATGGAGTAACAACAGTAAGAGCAGCACAATCCACGCACACACTGAAAATAATTATGATGACAGTTTCCAAGATGGTTTGGCAGGACGTTGCTGACTGATTACTGAAAAGTTCCATTAGAAACTCTATCTCTAAGTGATTGGTTGAAACAGGCATGAGGGTGCCACCTTGTCCCCCTGATGTTGAGCAGTGTACCTACATGTACATGTACCTACTCTCCTTCAGAAGCAAAGTTGAGGTATACGTGCACTACATGTAAGAGTTCCATATATGTAGGACATCACTACTGTAATTTTCCCTTGCAGTGATTGATGAGCCATTAGAAAGTGATATGTCATAGAAAGCCAACTTTTATCAGGGAAAAAGTCCAAGTATTTACATGTACTTAGACATGTTAGAAACATGAAATGAATTATACAGGGAAACTGACTAGGTGCTTACAAATGACTATAAAGATGAACAAAGGAATTGACTGGAGCGGGATTTGAACCTGCGGCCTCCGGAATACCATACCAGTGTTCTACCAACTGAGCTACATGTACATGTATCTAGCCCTATCCAGTATGTCGGTGGCTCTTCTCATTTATCAATATCGTTGTTCAGGGGACACTAGCCAGCTAGCCAGAAGCTATTAAAGCTGAAACACCATGTACCAGTACATGTGGCCAGGGATCACGCCCCAAGGTTGTATCATGTAATTATTTTATCAAATAGGAAATTATGATTAAAAATTGTCTGTCTGAATGTTCTACCCCCCAGAACACGTGGGAGCAGGGTGGACATTGGACCCCACAGTTCTGGGGGTAGACACGTTCTCGAGCGAGTTGTAAAGTGCACGCACGTAAAGGAATCTGAGCTGTGTGCATGCACTGCGCGTACCAATTTCCAGTGAAGGTCTGTCACGCGCCTGCTACACGGAGGCTGTGACTGGTACATGTACATGGCTTTAACCCGCCTGCCATCGAGCTGATATAAAAACTGCAGTTCCGGTTTTGTCGGATCGGGGGCTTCAGATTGACCAATTAACCCCATTGGTTATCCCTAAAATGTTCAGATTTTGTCTGCTTTATATTTTGGTTTATAAACATAAATTTGTGACACAACCTGCTATTTTATAGGAGTTATCTCAGTTAGCATAGAAGACTTTGTATATGCAGGGTTCTTGTACAGGAACAAGTTCATCAATGATCTCTCTTTGAAGTGTTTAACATGTTTAATTTGTTAGAAGAGTTTTATTGGTTAAAAATGTATAAATACACAATATTGTAGTGATTTGATTTTTATTAAACTGAAACAGTAACTTATCTTGATAATTGAGGAATAAAAAAAGAACATTACATTGCGGGCATGATGATTGTAATGAAGAGGCAAGAGCGATGCTATACTGATTGGGAACACAGTATGCAGAGGCAATACCGGCGTGCGCATGTGCGGTACGTAGCGATCATGCACAAATCGTGCTGTTAATCGGCCTTCGTTTTTCTATTTGTAAACTAAACATACTCAAACAATAAGCAGACTGAATTGCTAATTGGCTGTGACTTTTAAAATGGGACAAATCAACAGATATGGGTAAACTGCAAGCAACAGAAATGTGCCAAAGCCTTGCTGGATAATACCCTCTCCCTCTACACGGACGGAACTGCCGGGAGTCTACGTGCTTATGTGGGCATTTAAGAAACCAGTGGATTCGGTTAGGCTTTTAGTTTCACTGGTTCCAGTCAAGACATGCATGTAATGTAGTTGCTTGTGCACACTGTACAAACTGCACTGGAGAATGGCTGAAAACATTAACGTTAGGTCCGACTTTATTTTCCTGTTTTTGTCTTGACTTTGGTGGTGATGTGTCAAATTTCTCATCCCACCAGCTGGGGAGATAAGGACGCATAGGACACAGTAGGAGTTACAGACCTAGACATGACGGGTTTCGAGTNTTATAAAGACGAACAAAGAAATTGACTGGAGCGGGATTTGAACCTGTGGCCTCCGGAATACCATACCGGTGTTCTACCAACTGAGCTACATGTACATGTACATGTATCTAGCCCTACCCGGTATGTCGGTGGCTCTTGCCATTTATCAATATCGTTGCTCAGGGGACACTAGCCAGCTAGCCAGAAGCTATTAAACCTGAAACACCATGTACCAGTCCATGTGGCCAGGGATCACGCCCCAAGGTTGTATTGTGTTATTATTTTATCAAATAGGAAATTGTGATTAAAAATTGTCTGTCTGAATGTTCTACCCCAAGAACAAGTGGGAGCAGGGTGGACATTGGACCCCACAGTTCTGGGGGTACACACGCTCTAGCTTATTTAAATTCGAATTTCAAAATTTTTGAAATTCTAAGTGTAGCATGCATTTAATTCATTGAAATATGGCATGAATATGAACAAAGATTTATGAAAATATGAATTTTAAGTTTTTCAGTCAAAACCCACACTCATTTTTGTGTAAAAAAAATCTGTTTGCTCTGCATTGCACATGTATTGTAGACCTACATGTACATGTACACTGCAAATATGCCCAAAATTGCAGTATTTATGTGCTATGAATATCTCCTACATTGTACTAAAAAGGTTTTAGTGATTTTTTATCAAGTTGCAGTAAAAAGCAGAAACATGAAAATCCCTGTACAAAGTGAATGGAGAGTTGTCCCTTTGCCTAGCCCAGGCTGGACATTGTCTTCATTTCATTACGACTGATGTCCAGGGTCTAAGACTTGTGTACAAAACGACTACAAATTTGGTTCCAATTTATTCTTGGTTTACCTTGTTGAAGAAACTAATTTTTAATGTTTACAAGTTTTTCGTGGCTTTATCTATCCGTCTGAGGGGTTTAGGAATTTCAGAGCAAACCATGGACTGCAAAATCGAGGAAAATAAGTGAGAGATAATGTTACTTTTGTAGACGAAATTCATCCGTTCTCGAGCGAGTTGTAAAGTGCACGCACGTAAAGGAATCTGAGCTGTGTGCATGCACTGCGCATACCAATTTCCAGTGAAGGTCTGTCACGCGCCTGCTACACGGAGGCTGTGACTGGTACATGTACGTGGCTTTAACCCGCCTGCCATCGAGCTGATATAAAAACTGCAGTTCCGGTTTTGTCGGATCGGGGGCTTCAGATTGACCAATTAACCCCATTGGTTATCCCTAAAATGTTCAGATTTTGTCTGCTTTATATTTTGGTTTATAAACATAAATTTGCGACACAACCTGCTATTTTATAGGAGTTATCTCAGTTAGCATAGAAGACTTTGTATATGCAGGGTTCTTGTACAGGAACAAGTTCATCAATGATCTCTCTTTGAAGTGTTTAACATGTTTAATTTGTTAGTAGAGTTTTATTGGTTAAAAATGTATAAATACACAATATTGTAGTGATTTGATTTTTATTAAACTGAAACAGTAACTTATCTTGATAATTGAGGAATAAAAAAAGAACATTACATTGCGGGCATGATGATTGTAATGAAGAGGCAAGAGCGATGCTATACTGATTGGGAACACAGTATGCAGAGGCAACACCGGCGTGCGCATGTGCGGTACGTAGCGATCATGCACAAATCGTGCTGTTAATCGGCCTTCTTTTTTCTATTTGTAAACTAAACATACTCAAACAATAAGCAGACTGAATTGCTAATTGGCTGTGACTTTTAAAATGGGACAAATCAACAGATATGGGTAAACTGCAAGCAACAGAAATGTGCCAAAGCCTTGCTGGATAATACCCTCTCCCTCGACACGGACGGAACTGCCGGGAGTCCACGTGCTTATGTGAGCATTTAAGAAACCAGTGGATTCGGTTAGGCTTTCAGTTTCACTGGTTCCAGTCAGGACATGCATGTAATGTAGTTGCTTGTGCACACTGTACAAACTGCACTGGAGAATGGCTGAAAACATTGGGATCAGGTCAACTCGGACCCAAA